TGACGGGTCTTGACAGGATGGCGTTGAGGAGGCCTCATGCGGCAGAATGCGACGGAGTCAAGCTCTTACACGGATCATCTCCAAAGAAGACGGTCCTTTCTAATGCTTACACAGGAGCACTCGGAGAATCACGGGTAAACGTCTACTTCTAGCGGACAGAACAGGGAACACAAGGATGCAGATATCCCAGGAATTGGAGACGAGTGTCGGGCGAATGTCAGATTTTGGACATGGTTTCCAGTCTACGTTTTTCGTGACAAGTGAGGCTATGACGGCGCCAAACTTGGGGGGAGCAAGGGCGCCCCTGGAACATGGAGAAGATATTCGGGGCCTAGAATCCCCCGCATTTGGGGGGTAAAGAGACGGCCAGTCTTTCGTGGGGAAGAAGAGAGCACGACAAGGTTGGAGTCGTGGTAGGAGTTGGTTTGTCTGTCGGGGGGGTTCGGGATGATGGCAAACATCAGATACCCGCACGAAGGCTGGAGAAAGTCGGAAAGGCTAGCTTTTTCGCCTGAACGTCGTTGTCAGGGGGGGGTCGTTGAACACATTGTTGGGACATGCACGAAGTTTGGATTTGGAGGAATCAATAAATCGTTGGTTTGCAGAAGGATGAGAATACAAGAGCAGACAAGCTCAATGCTGGCAGAGACAAAAATCCCTTCGGTGGTGGCAAAGAGGAATACTTGAATCAGAAGACAATCAGAAACGGCGCGACGCCACAAAGATTTAAGCTTGTCATCAAGGTTGTGTCAAAAAAGAAGCAGCGGGAGTTTAGATAAACCGGTGTTTTTCTCTTCTTCTTTTTCTGGGGGTCATTATCGTGTTAGTCGAAGGCGGCGGATCTCGCAAGAAGCGCGTTGTTGGTTGGGGAGTCTCCGCTTGAATACAGGCATAACAGCGATTCGTCAGGTTTCTGATTGGAGGAGATGCAAAGAAATGGATGGACGACTTGTTGTCATGGTCTGCCAAGACGCGAAAGGGAAGCCAACCGCAGGGGTGTCTACGACCCTTGCATCTGGGGAAGAGAGAGGAAGAGAGAAACAGAGAGAGGCGAGCTGGTCTTTATTCTCCCGCATTTCACAGGAAGGAATCGACGGTTATACACACTGCTTCAGTGGTGGTCAGGCGTGGAGAAGCAGGCCGAGCAGCAATAGTTTGAGCATATTTTCGAGGCTGGTAATTGCTGTCGTACGAAGCGGTAGTACAGACATTGAGCGTCTGCATGTGATTTGCCTCCAAGGAGAGGCCAGACTACATAGACAGACTGGACAAGAGAGAGAGAGGACTGGAGAGAGAACACCCAACAAATAGGGCAAGCAGCAGACAGACCAACTCAACCCTCTCGATTCAAACCTATTCAGACCTTTCCAAACCCGCTGGCAACAGCCGAGCCAAGCCTTCAGACACCACCGGCACCTCTTGGCCCTCCCCAGGATAAGAACCTCGAACAACCAGGCCATGCCCTTCTGAGTCTCTCGGGCTCTAGACCCAACTGACCCCCTCCAACGCTAGCAGGGATCTGACCTCCCTTGGGGTCAGCATGGGCTCGCCGTCAAGCCAATGGCATTCTGTATACTGGCTTACAGCGCCGTGAGTTGAAGGGCTGGGGGTTGCATTTACAAGGACGCTCCAGCATATGCTAGCCTTTTTGGCGCTGACATATATAAGCTTAATAACAAGGTAAAGCGACAATCTTAATGTTTAATCCGCGCCTCGGTACCAAAGTGGCTGGAGGGGATAATGTGCGGAGGAGGGACCTTTGGAAGTGGCATGAGGAGGTTCATGCTTCCGGCCATGACCTTCTGTGTTGCTGTTGAGTTCCTCATGCTTGGGAATGTCGTTTGGAAATCAGTTGCCAGCATCCAGCCCTGGGATGCTTAAAATAGCCATTCACTCCGAGCTCATGTCTCTCGTCTCCCCTCCTACTCACTCCCACAGTACGTGCAGAGACCGATGGCCAAGCGAAAACGGCCTCACGTATCCGCGACATTTTTCACATGGTGTATGCAGATCATTCAGCCCGCTGTGCTCCCCCAAGATATCTACACGTACAGGCACGAAACGGCATCGTATTCTGCCTCCGCTGCCCCTATCCTTGCCAATCAGTGCCAACCCCCGATCACCGATTCTTCTTCGTTCCTCTCCACACCTCCCTGATCCCCATGCGGTTCACCATCGCATGATAACAGCCTTTTATCCAGAGTTCAAGAACCGGGGTTTGCGAGTACTATGGCACCATCTCCAAAGCGTCCCTCCTCTTCCTCTCCTCTTCTCCAGCGTATTCCCCCTTGCTCCTCTCCATCTCTCCCCGTGTGACCCCATTCGACTCCACCAACTCCCCCGCATCTCATCACCCCCATCCCTCCCAACCAACTCTGCCAATGGAAGCCAATACCGGATAGGATTACAGCCCAGCCCGTCGTCTTCCCCAGGTCTCTTGCCTCCTGGTGGAGGACGACCGGGACCACTAGCAGATGCCCGGGCCCCAGAGGGGCTTATTCCTCGCAGGTGTGAAGTCTGTTAGTGGTTCCGTCAGTTGGAACGCCCGTCCGGCCAACACAATCGGGCCATTCTCCGGTCAGTGAACTCTGACTGGACGAGGACGGTAAGGGATACAAATCTCGTCGGTGTGGTACGAGATGTGATTGAGTCGTAAGGTACCTACTTGGGCGTAGGGTCCATGTACAAGCTTTAGATGAGAAAAAGCCACCGCTCGAACCGAAGCCAGAAGCTCAACAAATGCTCCGCATACGGCAGTTCCTCCAAACCTTACTGGATCCGTCTTCCAGACTCACCTCCTCGTCTTGTCCAGGCCTTTTACTGGCGCACCAACTTCTCAGGCATCGGAGACTCTACTTTCTCTCGGGCTAGGCAAAGCAAAGCAAAGACAGAGTGCCGCCGGCTACGTTCTAGATCCGATGTCGCATACTGACATGTACAACGTCCTGCTACTAGTACCTGTACCTTGAGAAGGAGGGGGAGAAGGATTGATGGAACGGTTGCTGCTCCTCCATCGTCTGTGTATCTTGTATTGTTCACTCACACGCCCCATGTCGTGCGTCGGGAAATGTCGTAAGACATGCATGAACTCTCTGCTGTCACCCATACGAGTATTCTTTTTTCCAGCTTTTGGCGTGTTCCCCCCCTGCTCCAGGCCATTGGATGTGACACTCATCTAGTCTTATAAATAAGGTTGTCGTCGCACTGATCACGGCTGAGCCCTTCCTCCTCGTGGCCCCAAGCCTGCTGTTGGTCCTGGGTTGTCGGTCCAAGCCCTCCCCCTCGAGACGAAGTAGGTATAAGACTCGGGCATTCGCGTGCGACGGAATCATCCCTCCCTCCTATTTCCCTACATCTCTCTCTCTCTTCCTTCTTCTCCCCCCCCTTTCCTTTGGTTCTCTCTCCACCATCCTCCTATCTATATCAACTTTTTGAATAGAGTTACCTGAGAGGAAAAGATGGCGCAAGACGAACCCCCACGGCACGCTGAGCCGGCCGACGACCTCGCCAAGGGCGTCGTCGCAACGGCCAAGCAGTCGTGGCGCGACCTCTTCGTCTGGAAGCAGCGCGTCGTCATCACCAACGGCTACGGCGAAACCCGCTGCGAGTGGCACGAGCCCGACCGCTTCCAGAACCCCATCAGCCTCTTCGCCCAGCTGTCCGCCCGCGACTGGCTCTTCTTCGTCGTCGGCTGGCTCGCCTGGACCGCCGACGCCTTCGACTTCCACGCGCTGTCCATCCAGACGGTCAAGCTGTCCAAGTACTACGGCCGCTCCAAGACGGACATCACCACCGCCATCACCCTGACGCTGCTGCTGCGCTCCGTCGGCGCCGCCGTCTTCGGGCTCGCCGGCGACAAGTGGGGGCGCAAGTGGCCCATGGTCTTCAACATGCTGGTGCTGGGCGCGCTGCAGATTGCCACCATCTACAGCAAGAAATTCACCACGTTCCTGGCGGTGCGCAGCATGTTTGGCCTCTTCATGGGCGGCGTGTACGGCAATGCGATTGCCATGGCTCTGGAGCAGTGTCCGTGAGTTCCTGATCCCCTTTTCCTCTCATGTTTCCTTCATTGTCCTCGTCCTCGTCCTCATTCCCCCTTTCACGTTCGATTTCATATATATGCCATCTCGGCCTCGAATCCACTAACGTCTCTTGGCTCGCCAGACCCAACGCGCGTGGCTTAATGTCCGGCATCCTGCAGCAGGGCTACTCTATGGGCTATGTCTTGGCTGCGTGCGCCAACCTTGGCGTTGGGGGCGCAACTGGCTCCTGGAAGACGGTCTTTTGGATCGGAGGTACGTGACAACAATCAATCACAGTTCAACACTTGAGCCTCATCTCTAGCTGACACTTACACGTAGCCGGGTTGTCTATTGGCGTCGGCCTCCTCCGCATCCCCTTTCCCGAGTCCCAGCAGTTCCTAGAGGCCAAGAAGGCCGGTAAGAAGGCGTCTTCTCCTGGGGCCTTTTGGCGCGAGACTCGCACCATGCTAGCCAAGGAGTGGAAGATGTGCATCTACTGCGTCATCCTCATGACCTGGTTCAACTACTACTCGCACACCTCGCAGGACTCGTACACCACCTTCATGCTGGAGCAGAAGATGCTCGACAACGCCGGCGCCTCGCGGGCCTCGATCCTGATGAAGGCTGGCGCTGTCGTCGGAGGCACCATCATCGGCTACCTCAGCCAGTTCGCCGGCCGTCGCCGCACCATGATGGTCGCCGCCCTCATGTCCGGCCTCTTGATCCCCGCCTGGATCCTGCCCGAGGGCGAGCGCGCCCTGAGTGCCACGGGCTTCTTCATGCAGTTCTTCGTCCAGGGCGCCTGGGGCGTCATCCCCATCCACCTCAACGAGCTGTCGCCCCCGGCCTTCCGCTCGTCCTTCCCCGGCGTCACGTACCAGGTCGGCAACATGATCTCGTCGCCTTCGGCCCAGATCGTCAACGCCATCGCTGAGAAGATGTTTGTCACGGTCAAGGGCGGCAAGAAGGCCGAAGCTTACGGCCCGACCATGGGCATCGCCACGGCCATCATTGCGACGGGCATCTTTGTCACCGTCATGTTTGGACCCGAGCGACGCGGCCGCAACTTTGATGGCATCGTCGCTGGTGTTGCGCCGAGCGACTCGGACGGCAAGATTGTCGACGAGCCGATGGACGAGGAGAAGGCTGGTGTCGAGCTAGAAAAGAGGTAGATGGTGTCTGCTGTGTTCCTTTTCCTTTTGTATATACAGGGATGATCTCATGAGGTGCTGTATCCGATGATTCAAGGGGGCTGAGTGTATCAGCTGAACGACCATGCTCGAGCAATGACTGGGAGGTTACCCTTATGAGATAAATAACCAATAACGAATACAATATGTGTAGTCAGCAATTCATTCGATTGAACGGCTGCCAAGTCTATCGTGAGACTGCGAGGTCGTGAGCGCATGAGAGTTGAGTGCACATGTCCTCCGAAGCATCAGCATCCCATTGAGAAAGTAGATGTAGAGAGAGTTCATTATCAATTGAGTTTTCTTGCATTCGAATCTTAGTATCATCTTTGAACCAAGTTGTAAGTGACCCACAATCTGTCTCGGTGCTCACTGGTTCAAGCTTGTTCTCGGGTTAGTTGCTGGACCCCTGTCATGGTGACGTCGTTCCGGGCACAGTATCGTCACTTTACATCAAACCCAACCAAGAACTTCTTGAACGACTTCACGTGCCAAATTCAAGGCCAAACAACCAAAACTCGCCGTCATTATAGTAACCCCTTCCAACACTGTAATCGCACAACTTCATACGGTCCCTGAATCCATCCTGTCAAACCATACAATTCCGCGTAAACGATCGACCATGGCGCTCCGCCTTACGAGCTCCATAACTAGTACCCCAGACTCCCCTCCACAAAAAGCCCCGGTGCGTCATGATCGTCGTCATTTCGCCACAAAACTAACAAGAAATCGCATTCCCCTCCATCCCAAACCTCCCCAAATGCGTTCGTTCTTGTTGGACATTGATTCGGCACAGACGGCTTCTGGAAGAGAGGCGTTTGTTGAATGGCGTTGGGTGTGTCTCTCTTGACGAACCGTTTTGCCGTCATAGCGACATCATATCTGTAACCCGTCATGTTGAACCCGTCGCCACGAAATGTAAGATGAAGGGTATATAAGGGTCTCGACTCCAACTTTACCAGATCATAAAATCACATCAAATCAAGCATTTTCACAAAGACACAAGACACAAGACTCAAAAACAATACAAATCAAGCATCAAATCAATTACAATGCCTCTCTCCAACAAAAGGAACAACGCCCTCGCAGCAGAGCAACAAGCAGCACACACCACCAACATGAACAACAACCCCCAATCCAACCTCCCCGGCCCAGCCCCCTTCACCGCCGGCCCTCACCGTCACGACATCGTGAACAAGCTCGACCCCACCGTCGACAGCGGCACCGGCGGCATGCAGGTCCTCTCCTCCGCGCCCAACACCACCAACGCCGCCGCGGGCGTCTCCGGCATGCCCGCCACCGGAGGGTCGACGGCCCTGGGCAGCAACAACCCCTACGGCACTCAGACTCAGCCGGTGCACAACTCCCGCATGGCCAACGCCCTTGACCCCCGCGTCGACTTCACCCAGCAGCAGCAGCAGGGCGGCGCAAACTACTACACAAAGGGCACCAACGTCGTCCCCGGCGGAACAGCGGCGGGCGCCACGCCCCGCCACGTCCCCGAGGGGACCTACGGGCCGCACGGCTCCCGCATGGCCAACGCCGCCGACCCGCGCGTCGACTCGGACGCCGACCGTCACCGGATAGGCGGCACCACCAGAGCCGGAGCGGCAGCGGGAAGCGTAGGGGGGGCAACGGGCGCGGGAGCAAACGCCAAGCCCATCTACCCTCCCGGCGTGGGCGGCCCTGCGCCTACGACGGCGGGCCCGCACAGGCATGATATCCTGAACAAGCTTGATCCGACGGTCAACAGTCAGAAGGTGGCTGGTGTTGATTCGACCGGCCACAGGGTCGTCTAAGCTGCTTTCACGGGGATCGGACAGATGAGGAGCATGACATGTTTCATTACGTTCTTTTGATACCAGATAGTATGGGTATAAGGGCTGGAATGACTCTGTTTCGAATGATACCATGGGAATTATGATTTACCCTGATAAAAGGGGGAGTTCTTACGTTGTACGATATCAGAGTGCTTTACTAGGTAGTTACGAATGATGACAAACTTCAACGTCTATATCAAGAATGCTGAGACGGAGTGATAATATGTTGTGCATGGCAAGAAATGTCCATGAACCCCCGAGGCCCAGAGTGCAAACCTTGTCAAAATGATGGCGTCAAATCACTCATGAGACGATATGATAGTTATATTCCTTATATTGTTACAATGTGTGTACACAGCCGCCCAATGCCCTTCTAAACTCGCCCATGCTTTCTCGCAGCGCCAAAGAAACAAAAAATAAACGTACGATAACTCCCTCTTGTCAGCAGATACATAGGTATTCCTGATCCTATACAAGGACTGCGGCATGCAAAAGAGCAGCCAGATGCATATCCACCCCCTGTGGTCGTCCTCATTACGCACACCATCAGGATGAGATGGCTGCCCCCATATCGTGTGAACGTACTGTAGGACCTCTTTTTCAGTGAAGACGAATGATTGTGTTTTTCCCAGTTGGCGGCTACTGGGCTTTCGTTCCCAATCAAGTCGATTTCCTTCGCTCTATCAAGGTATCAGTGGCAAGGGCTATGCGCCGACATAATCTCCCAAGCTTGTAATATCCCAGGGGAAGCCAAGCCCTTGCCCCCGCGCCATGCAACCGCTGTGTATATGTTCGATGCGAGTCCTTTCTTTTGCGCCATGTCGCTTCACTGCGCCTTGCCTCGGCTGTTGAAGATGGTGATGATGCCGAACCCGACATAGAACAGGGCTACCGGGTACGCCACAAGGCCACGCATATCTCGCATCTTACCGACAGCTGATGCGCAGTGAAACAATCAGTACGTGCCACTTCCCCCCCAAAAAAAAGATCTGAACGGTAGGAAAGACTCACCACAAAAGATGGCGCTTGATCTTGACGTTGACCAGCAAATGGCCAAGCTCGTGATAATGTATCCAGCCATGCAATCCAACGGCATGACGACGCCAATCAACGACGTAAGAACAAGTGGCAGGAAGCAGTACCCCAGCACACTGGCGTTCTGGGTGAATGTGAGGGTGCTGGGCGAGACGTCGGCCCCGGGGTATCCTGGAGGCGTATCCGGCGTCATCAGGCTGAGGATCATGTACAGCATCGTGGACCCCATCAGAGCGAGGCCGTAGACATAACCAAAGTGGACGGAGCCGCTGCACAGCAGGAAGGCGCCAAAGAGGACGACGAAGAGCAAGGGGCCAGCCAGGTCAGAGTCGTTCATGACGTGCTCCAGCCGCTCGATGGGCGAGAAGGGGTTCAGGACGGCCAGCGTCTTAGCCTGCATGTGCCCAAAGTCGACGCCCAGCTCCTCCCGCAGCGACGGCTCGTTGTCGTATCCCTCGGCGGAGAAGGCGGCCAGCCAGCCCGTCCTCAGGCCCGTCTGCTCGCGGTAGCCCGGCGGCACGCCATAGCCACCGACGGCCGGGGGCGGCTGCGAGGGCGTGGCCGCGTAGGAGCCGTGGTAGAACTGCAGGTTCTCGGTCGCCGAGGGGGAAGCGGACGCGCCGTACTGGTTGTAGTATTGCGACATTCTCGAGGGCGGCGGGATCGAGGAACTTTGCGGGCGTGGTGAGAGGCTGCTCGAGGTTGGCGCGAATCGGAGGTGACATGTGGTTTCAACTTCAACAGGCGGGAGGGCTGCTGTTGGTAGGTGGCGGATTACATAAGGCCCCGATAAGAGCCGATAATGCTGTCACTGTTGGCTCTCAAGGTTCAATCAGTGCTTGCTGCCAACGGCGTGTACTGCTACGTCTGCGGGATTGGTGATGAAGCTGTGTGACCTTACTGAGCGGATTCAACAAAGAGCAAAGCGAGGAATTATACTCCCAACATGTCCATGCTGGCATCCCTCTTCCATTGCAATGTCCAATCTTAGAGACATTACAACCGTCACTTGCACGTGCCCACCGCCAGGTACTCGCAGCTACAACACCCCTCCAGCGGTCCCCCGCCGTCTGATCGCCGTACAGAGGGTACCTTGCATGTACTGCTACCTGGGCCCAGTTCCGCCGTCAGGTCCCAGCTCTCTTTTGTCTCTCTTCTCCCACCAGCAGCAAACAACCACCAGTTAAGCTCGCAAGCTTCCCAGCTCCGTCCAACCCAAAAAACTCAACACCTTCTCCTACAAGCTTCACGACCTACACACGTCAACCACCAAAACAGCCTCCCTCGCCATGGCTTCCTTTGGCGAACCACCGCCCGAGTCCGGCGCCGACCTCCGCAACGAGGTCAAGAAGCCCAAGAAGAAGAAGGTGCTCCTCATGGGCAAGTCTGGCTCGGGCAAGTCGAGCATGCGCAGCATCATCTTTAGCAACTACATTGCGCGCGACACCCGAAGATTGTAAGACAAGGAAACATGTGCCCTCTGTTGCCAATGAAAAAATCACTCATCTGTGTGTGTGTGTTCTGCAGAGGCGCCACCATCGACATCGACCTCTCGCACGTCAAGTTCCTCGGCAACCTCACGCTCAACCTCTGGGACTGCGGCGGCCAGGAGGCCTTTATGGAAAACTACCTCTCGCAGCAGCGCGTCCACGTCTTCTCCAACGTCGGCGTCCTCATCTACGTCTTCGACATCGAGTCGCGCGACGTCGACCGCGACCTGGCCACGTACGTGTCCATCCTCTCCGCCCTGCTGCAGTACTCGCCCGCGGCCAAGATCTACATCCTCGTCCACAAAATGGACCTCGTCGTGCCCAGCGCCCGCGAGACCGTCTACGACGACCGCGTCCGCCTCGTGCGCCAGAAGACGGCCGAGTACGCCCACTCGGTCGGCGTCGACAGCAACGCCGTCGACCTCCTCGTCCCCTTCGCCACCTCCATCTGGGACCAGAGCCTCTACAAGGCCTGGGCCTCCATCATCCACGACCTCGTCCCCAACCTCGCCGTCATCGAGCGCAACCTCGCCAACCTCGGCGTCGCCATCGAGGCCGAGGAGCTCATCCTCTTCGAGCGCACCTCCTTCCTCGCCGTCTCCTCCTGGACATCCCCCGAGGGCGCCCGCAACCCCACCGAGGACCGCCTCGAGCGCATGTCCAACATCATGAAGCACTTCAAGCAGAGCATCTCCCGCTTCACCGGCACCCCCCGCAACGCCGAGCAGTTCATCCGCATGGAGCACAAGGCCGGCATGCGCTTCAGCCTCTTCATCCTCAAGTTCACCACAAACACCTACCTCATGGTCGTCCTGCCCCCGGGCGAGGCCCGCTTCAACGCCGCCATGCTCAACTGCCAGATTGCCATTGAGCACTTCAAGTTCCTCGACACGCCTGCGCCTGGCTCCGCCGCCGCGCCAGTCCCCGCGTCGCTGGCACAAGCTGCGTGAAGCACAAAAGGGAGTAGTATTGGGAGTTTGGGAGCACTAAACCAAAAGGGAAAAAATCAGATTCTAATGACTTTATGAGAGTTGGGTGTCCAAGGGCGTTTCGGGATCAGGTTACGATTTACTACCTTGGCTATGATTTGAGATTTGAGAATACTACAGGCAGCAATGGTGTCGGTTGATTTTGGCCATCTTTCCTGTACATACTTGGAACAGTGGATAGTGCAAGGTTGCACGGAAACTGTATACTACTAGCTTTGTAATGACTGCTATAATGCTTCTTTGCTTTGAGAATAAAGGTTACCAGTGGCGAATGTGATGCTGTTCAAAACCTGAGAGCGTTCAGGCAGATTTGGCATCAAATTGACCGTTTCAACGGCCTCTACTCTTCTATGAGTTTCACGAAACTTAATAAAATGGAAATGAAGAGAGGGTCAATCAGAATCCTCTCCCATAATAAGCCTCCTGTCATCAACCCGATCATCTCAGCAATCCCAGCCCTACACCCACTTGACCACAGCAGTTCCGCCCTTTTTGAACTCGGGCATCTCCCCCAAAACCAGAGACTTATCCGTGTGCTCCTTGTTGGGAAAGGTCGTGAACAACACCCACGGCCGAGTGCGAGTCTCCACGGAAGCCCCCTGAACAAAGCCGTAGACGTCTCCAATCGTGTGCGTGGTGTTGAAACGAGCAGGCAGCCTGGATCCATCGGGCATCTGAATCCTGATCATCAGCGTAGGCTGCGAATCGTCAATGGTCGGCGCAGAAGCAGCAGCGGGCGGTGTAGCGGGCGCAGGTGTCGACGACGTCGTGGATGAAGCTCCAGGCACCGGGCTTCCAAGGCGGTTGCCAGTGCCGGAAAAGGGCTTGTACTTCTTGGGTGGCTGCTTGTAAGGCGTGTCGTGTTGATGAAGCTTGACGTCCACCGACTGGTCGTGCTGCACGTTCATGAGGTGGAGGGGAGCCCGGCCTGATCGTATCAGCTGGAGATCGGCCTCGTTGGAAGGGTCGTCGAAGCGGCGAAGCTCGCCATCGTCGATGCTGAATCCGTCCTGCCAGATGTGAAGCACGCGCTCAACTGGCGGCCCGCTAGGTCGCTCGGCTCCGCGGGGGTCGGGGATGCTTCGACTCTCCACGCCATCGCCACCGAGGGTCACGCCGGTGCCACGGAAATGAGTCGGGCGAGAGGGACCGGCCTCTGCGCTGGGGTCTGACTGCCGTGAGTTCCTGGATAGTGTTAGCGGCTGGTTGTGACACGAATACCCATGCGGCCTTGAGACGTCACTCACGCCTTCGCCTTGGCGAGAATGTCACTGATAATCTTCCTTGAGCCACCCTCCTGCCTTGGATCCTGGACAGCAAGGCCCGATTTTTCACCACCGGCAAACAGGTTGCCTCGTCCGTCGTCATCTTCATCGTCCTCATCTTCGTCGTCCTCGTCGTCCATGGGGTTGTGAGGAGCAGAGCTGCTGCTGGCCAGAGATCCCAGTGTGGCAATGCCCTTCTTCTTCGGCTGTTTCGCCTGCCGGGACGCTAAGCTGGAGAAGTCTTCCTGGGGAGCAGGGCGACCATCCAGGGTCCGCGGGCCGCTGTACTGTTCTAGCGTTCCTTCGGCGGCCTGTTGCCGGCGTCGTGCGTCGTTTCGCTCGTCCTCGTCGTGGAAGTAGGAGTTGCAGGCGGCGAGCATGTCCCAGCCGTTGGTCTCGAGATACTGAGTGGCCTAAAAGGTCAACCAGCGTTAGCTTCATGTTGCATGCAAAGTAGCTCGTGATATCAGGCAGTTGGACTGACCAATTCGACCGAGGCGCCGCTCATGGTAACAAAGTCCCGGACCATCTCATCGTGATCCTTGGGCTCGTCTTCCCGCACCATGATGGCTATGTGTGTGTGTGTGTGCTTGTGAGGGGTTGTTGCAAGCTTCAAGCAAACGGTTGCCAACGAGAGGGGCAAGGAAGCTGTCTCGATCTTGGCAGTACCAAGAATTCTCAACAAAATGATGTACTTTTCTGCCTAGAGTCGTCGTCTGACGGGGTTGTTCAACTGGGAGAAATGCGGTGCAGGCAAAGGAAGCAGGTTGTTGTTCTTGTCAAGCTGGTGGATTACCAAAGCAAATCGAAGGCAGCGGCTCACCTTCGTCATGCAGCCTGAAAGTGAGCTGCAGCAGTGACTTCTCGGCACTTGGCCCCACCGGAATAGCGATCCACCGGCCCCGACGTCGACTTACGTAATATCCTTCGCATGCCGAGCAACACTTCCAAGTTCCGTTGTGTGCATCATCGCCATCACCGGCATCGCAGTGGAGGCATCAACTCCTCGACTCTGCAAAACCGCTTCACGAGACTCCCGTCGCACGCCGTCGCCATGTCCACCGACGACCTGAGCACCCACCTGGCCGACTCCGGCATCACGATGCGGTCCGACAGCGAGCAGTACTCCCCAGGCGACGAGGTATCGTCCCCGTCGTCGTCCAACTCGCCCGTCATTCTCTACAAGCCCCCGACTGCGTGGACATTGATACGGAGCGCCGCTATCAACCTGCTGCTTCCATTCATCAACGGCATGATGCTGGGATTCGGGGAACTGTTTGCCCATGAGGCGGCATTCAGGCTGGGATGGGGAGGTACAAAGGTCAGTTCACGCGGGCCACAGACGCCATGGAATCTGGATCTGCGACGGACAGACGCCCAGATTTCTCATTCGCCAGTCTCCGGAAGATGGCTTTCATGTTCATCGGGGGGGTTGGCTTTGTTAACATGACGTGCATGCAGGTGTTCCCCGTTTCTCGAAGACGAGCGCACCCCATTGGCCCAGGCATCGAGGTTCGCGAACGACCAGAACGCCCCGGGCCGTCACTAAACGACTTTGCAAGCTTAGAGTAGGGAGGAGTGGAATCGGCCTGGTCGGAGAGACCTTGTGTATATGAATAAATCATGTCTAAATACGCACCTGCAGGGCGCTTCATCGAAAGGCTCTGACCTGTGTACTGCCACTTCTAGAGCATCTCAGCGGGCAGTGAGCAATGGGCAGCGGACAGCTGGGTAGAGGCGGATTGCAACAGCAGAATGTACTATGAGTACCTAGTAACTGCACGGCGCTGCAGCCATTGCATTAATTGAGCCAATTCGACTTTTCAATCACAAGCAGCATATCTCCAGATCGTCCATCACCTCTTGCCATTCCCCACGTCTGTCGTCTGTCTTCATCCTCGTCTTGCACAGAGATCAAGCCAAGCACCCGCTCCGTCATATCAAGCTTCAAGCTTAGGCTAATCCGCAGAACCACCCAACCGGGCGTGGGGTAGATCCGAGGTTCATCCGCCGCATCGAAAAAAATAATTCCTAGGCCGAGTCCCGCCAAAGCGCAACAATTTGATATCCGTCTGCCTCACCCATACCCTCACTCTTTCAGCCCCCCCTCGACAGACCGTCGCAATGCTTCCAAGCAGAGGGATTGTGCGCTCCCTCCCCTCACAGGGAGCTTGGAGGCAGGCGCCGAGCCGATTGGTGGTGAGCAATGTCTCCATGTCATACTACTGGTATACTTGACATGGCAATGAGATTGTCGCAGACTGACACCACCCCCACACAGAACCTCTCCGGTCGAAAGCTGAGCCATGGGCGACAGTTCGGGACCTCACTGCGACACGCCGACGGCAGATTGACTACGTCCTCCTCACAGTTCCGACCTCGACTCGTCACCGCCGCTCCAATTGTCCTCGGGGGCGTCTCATCGTCAAGATCACTGTCGCTCTGGGGCTGGGGTAGTGGAAGCAAGGACAAGGACGCTTCAGCAGCCGAAGCCGCTGCATCAACACCAGAGACACCAGTCGCCGCCGCCACTCCCACACCAGCGGACCAGGCTTCAACAGCAGAAGCAGCCTCTTCTCCTACCACTACAACCGATGCCGCAGCCGTTCCTTCGACGTCCGCGACGGACCCCGCCGCCGTCGCCGCCTCCGACGCCGACCTCTCCTCCATCTCGGCGCTCATCAACGGCCAGGACATCCTCAACATGCGCGAGGACATTGGCTACCTGCACGCCATCGGGCTGGACTACGGCTGGGGCTTCACCTCGGTCATGCAGTGGGCGCTCGAGCACGTCCACGTCTGGACGGGCCTGGGCTGGGGCGCCTCCATCATGGCCACGGCGGTGCTGCTGAGGGCCGTCATGTTCTACCCGCAGATCCAGAGCCTCAAGTTCAACGCCGTCATGCAGCGCATGCGCAAGGACCCGCGCTCCAACGAGGCCATGAAGCTCGTCCAGCAGGGCTTCCAGGAGAGCGACATGGAGAAGCGCCAGCGCGGCCAGGTCCTCAACAAGCTGCTGCGCACCGAGTACGGCGTCAGCAACTGGGGCATTCTGTGGTCCCTCGCCCAGATCCCCTTCACCTTTGGCCTCTTCCGCATCGTCAGCGGCATGGTGCACATCCCCGTGCCTTCGCTTGAGAACGCGGGCTTCCTCTGGTTCACCGATCTGACCGCCACGGACCCTTACTTCATCCTCCCCGCCGCCGGTACCGCCCTCATGATGGGTGCTCTGCTGGTATGTCGTCCCCCTTCTTTCCCTCCTCTTCAAGGTATCTGCGACTGACTTACAATCACCCCAGATCAACGCCAAGCACACCCCCCAGCAGCAGCGCAAGATGCTCAAGCCCATGATGTACATCTTCGGCACCGTCGGCTTCGTCGGCACCACCTTCCTCTCCGCCGCCGTCAACCTCATGACCGTCTCCCTCGGCGCCGCCACCCTCCTCACCGCCCTCATCCTCAACGTCCCCTCCATCCGCCGCGCCCTCGGCCTCCCCCTCGGCCCCGCCGACGAGGCCCCCGCCGCCGGCTCACCCTCAAAGGTCCAGTACGAGGCCCCCCGCACGTCGACGACGGAGACACCCGGCATGGCCGGCCTGCGGGAGCGTCTCACGAGCAGCCTCGACGACATGAAGAAGGGCGTGTCCGAGTCCGTGTCCAACTACACGGGGACGTACTCCGGCACCGAGCAGGAGAGGGCCGAGAGGAAGCGCCGGGAGATGATTCGCAAGCTGGAGGATCTGCGGAAGCAGCAGGAGCGAGAGCAATTTGAGCAGAAATACAAGGGCAAGAAATAAAAAGCACGCCATATAGAAGGGTTTTTGGCTTCAAACAGGCGAAAGGAAAGAAGAAGAAGAACAACAAAATAATCAGAAAATGTCAAAAGAGGGATAGAAGGGGGCCAGATATGACCAACGGAAGCTGCTGGAGCAAAGGGGGGGCGAGTGCCACAGCAGTTTTCTTGTATAAAAAAACGTGTACACCCTTTTCTTTCTATCCATGTACTTACTAACACCCAAAAATTATCTACGTAGATGAGCTGTCAAAATGCAGAAGGGCAGTAGGGAGCAAAGTGACATTCTGTACAATAGGAAGGGAAAGCAGAGTTGAGCTGTTTACATAGACGCAATAAGAAACACTCCTGAAGCATCTCCACAGACACAGAGAGCATAGGCGTCTCTGAAGCAAAGCGAACAAGTGAACAAATCAGAGCACACAGAGCACACAGAGCACACAGAGCACACAGAGCAGAGAAAATATGAGCAACATGTTTATCAATTTCTTCAATTCCTTCCATGTGTCCCATCACATGGTATTCTCAAAGGCTGCCTACCTAACACAGAAGTAGCCCTCTTTTAGTTTCCACCGGTTTTCCATCCTCCTTTTTCTTCCCAGGCCAATTTTTGTACAATTCGTCGGTGCCGTATTAACTAACACAAGCTGATAAGAGAGAAGAAAGGAAAAGAACAGAAAAGATTTGCTCATTCATTCGGCGTCCCAGATTAGGCCAGACAGTGCATGCCATCCCAAAACAGAAGGAAAAGAAACTGCTTCAGGTGTAGCAGTATTGGTATAATAGTTTAAAACAGTCGGTAATTGTTGTAGCAACGGAAGTGAGTGAGCGAGTGAGAAGAAGAGAAGAGACGAGAAGAGATGAGATGACTCCTTTTAAAACACCGTTCCGTCGCTTTCGACTAGAATCGGCGGCTCTTTGGTGTTTGGCCTGTTGATTTCGGCAATCTCACGACCTCCCTATGGTACTTTGTTAGCCCGGGTCTCGGCATACTAGTTGTATCATGTGTGCGTTTCATACCTTCCAGCTACCAGCTTCCAATAGCTGTGCCAGAGTCATCTCATGACCCTCCAGCTCCGGAGCAAGTGCCGCGTTGACGTCTTCGAGGAGCTTGTCGAGCAGAGCAACCGTCAGCCCTCGCCACTCCACAATGACATCGTCCGAGGCCTCAAACATGGGCGCGACTTCAACGACCTTGATGCCCGAGTGCTTGCAGTAGGCGCCGTAATTGGCCAGTCCGCGGGCCATGTCGTTCTCCTTGAGAGTCAGGACGCCCAGGTCGACAAAGAGGCCGCCGTTGCGGTACTCGGGCAGACCAGTCAGCAGCTCCGTGCCGGCAAAGTACATGTTGAGCAGGGATTGCATAGGCTGCATGAGCGAGTACGCAAGCCACTGTGTCAGGTTGTGCAACGGCAGGATGGACTCCCAGGAGTTGGGACCCGAGGTGGGTAGGGCCTCGCAGGTCCAGGCATCGCCAAGCGGGACACCGTTAATTGCCGTCCGAGTAGGCCAGATGGATGAGAGGCCCTCCGTCAGGACGTTCCACAGGACTGGCAGCGGTACGATGAGAACAGAGGATGCTTGAGTTGCAGGATGTGATAGCAGGTAATCTGCAACGGTCGTTAGTTGATAGGCACACAAGTCTTGCATCTCAGAGAGTCGACTCACCAATCATGTTGCCAGGCCGGCCATCGGCACCAAAGAACTCGGAGTGCTCATTGAGAGCGTCTGACAGCTTAACCAGAAGCTCTGTCCGGCCCTCCAAGCCAACAAGTTCGTTGTCGCCATCGGCCTGCATGCCCGAAGCGATCTTGGCTACACTGAGAGCCCCCAGTGCGACCTTGTCGACCTGGTGTTTGTTGGATGGGCTTGCTGAGAAGATTCCCTATGATTACGAGTCAGATGAGATTGCTCCCCCCCACAGGAGATTGCCTTGGGCTTACTGATTTGAACATCTCCAAACTGGCGACTGCGATGCCCTCTGAGCGCTTGTAGACCTTGCCATTCTCGACGCTCTTGTAGGTCCAGGTGGTGCCCGCACCCGCATCCAGCAGCACGCTGACGAAGAAGAGGTCGATGAGTCGGCGGCATCGCTCCGTGTTGTCGACGCTGTCGGGCCAGCTGCTCAGGAGCTCGGCTATCCGATCTCGACCTCCTACGCAGAAGTGCTGATACCGGCCATGGCTGGGAATGTCCTGGAAAGGAGCTTCGTGGTCTCGCTACGCAAGCGCATTCAGTGTTAGTCTCGGATCCAACCACATAGGTGAGGGTTGGCGTGTATTGGGTAAGAGGATGGAAAGGGGAGGCATGTGGCCAAGCTGGTAGTGACCAATGGAACTGTTCTCGACAGCCCATCTTTTCCATGTCTAGTAAAGGCAGCCCAAGCCCAAGCCATGCACCAATCTCGGACGGGATGCCGCCATGCAAGCGAGCTTCATGCCTCTCACCCTCTCCTCCGCGCCAAAGCTTCCATTCTCCCCCCGAACCAACAGCAGCAGTAAACGTACCTTGATCAGCCCCGCGACAAACGTCACAACATCAGGAAACTTGTTCATATCAACGTCGAAGTGGACCAGGTCGTTCTCCAGGGCCTTCTCCATGAGGATCTTGGCCCTGTCGCGCACAGCGACCAGGCTTCGCAGGTAGCCGGCGGGATCCAGCAGCGGATCCGGCGGCCGAGGCAGGTCAATCTTGGGAATCTTGAACGGAGGCATCGGCGATAGGGGGGTGTTGGGGGTCAGCATGCTGCCGGCAGAGACGCGGTTGTTGGTCATGCCGCGGAATGTGGAGGAGCCGAAGCTGGTGGTGGACTGAGACTCGAGAATGCCCGACTCCCGGGGAGACTTTTGTTTGCGGGAAAAGAGGCCCATGGTTGCGGGTGTTCTTGTGATTGTTCTTTTGCTTTTTGAGCTCGCAGACGAGGTGGTTTGCGGGTTTGTCTCGTAGTGCGTAGTAGAGCTTTCTCTCTCGATATGATAGAATCGATCAGGGACGGCTCGAACTCGACGCTATTCGGGTGCTGAACGGCCAACAAGAGGCCCGGTCCAGGCAGCTCGCGGAAGGAAGAAGACAGCAGGCGTGAAGGAGAGCAGTGAGAGATGAGGGACAGGCAGATTTTTCGAGAGGAAGACGAGGATGCTAAAAGGGCATCTGCTGGTGCCGGGTACTTGGTACCTGCCTAAGGTAGGTGGGAGGTGAGACGAGGTAACTGAAGGTAGTGGCAGCTGCTGAGCTACAAAGAAGGTACAGACAGCGCAGGCAAATGTGAAGATCAGAGTATGAGAGAGTAAGAGAGGGAGAGAAGGATGTGAAGAGAGAAAGAATCAAGGTGCAATATCAGGAAGAGAAGAAGAAGAAGGGCAAGGGAAAACAAGCCTCGGGATGCAGAGGAAGACAGAGGAGAAATACTAGTACTAGCAGCAGAGCACTTGAGCTTCCCCGGCACAAGCAAAAGAAGGAAGAAGTTGGTGGAAGCACAGGCACAGATTCAGGTCCAGGATCAGGTACCCAAGGTAAGGCAAGGTACGGCACGGTACGGGGACGGGTCGCACAGGTACTAGGTACGATACAGGTACCGGCGGGATCAAACACAGGGCAGGACAAGACCGGCAACACCAGCAGCAACACACTTCACACATGGAATTTCTTCCCTCGAAGGAGCTCGCCCATCGGCTACAAATTACAAGGAGACGGGCGGGGATCTTCCGCAACATGTACCGCAGACGTACCTGCACGCGTACCTGTACCTGGACGAGGCCAGGCCAGTGGCAGCGCCTGAGAGCCATGCGGCCATGCAGCCATGCAGTTGAGCCATGCCATCTCATCCCAGGGGCCCCCCCAATAGCGGTTACCAGCTGCCAGGTACGACGAGTCGGCGTCGTGCTACGCGACCGGGGCCCCAGCACGCGGCCCTGGACCGTGGCCTGTCGCACCCATCAGGCATGGGCGGCAGCATGGCCTGGAGCAGGGCCTGTTAGCGGGCCTGTAGCGCTCTTGCTAGGGAACCCGAGGTCCGTCCTACGGCGGGCGAGAGCGTGTGTGCCACAGGAGGCTGTGAGGCATCATGGCCTCAGGTCGGACGTCAGGTTACTACCAACATGTACCTGGACCGCACCGCACCGATAGCGCAGCCATACAACAGCCGCACCTGCAGTTAGTCTGTCTGTAGTCTTGCTGCACCGCCTTACTCGAGCCTCGACATGAATCAAACTGGATGGTGCTAGAGAACAGTTCCATTAGCAGTAGATACGGTAACAGTGCTGATAGTCCAACCTGAAGAGCTCTCCCCAGGGCTACCCATTGGATTGGGCACTAGCACGAGAGCCCACTGCTGCTAGCAGGCGGGCAGGACAGGGCTTCTGCACGCTACTGGGCCTTAGCACCTCGCGGCTAGCAACCCGATTGCGATATCCGCAGCAGACTGGAGCAACTGGAGCAGAGCCACCTCAGTATAAAGAACCCTGGTGATTGCTTGTACGTTCACTGTACGTCCGCGACATGAACTTGTGCCACGGCGACAGGCATCCGCTCATTTCAGAAGCCAGAGGCAGGGCGCCTACCGGTGTCACATCGACGTGATTGGGGCCAGTACACGCTCGGCGGCGTCCAAGGTCGTGCGTGCGACATAGTACATATCTCGATAGTAAGACAGGCAGATGGCTTTGCAGAAGCCCCTTCAACATGTGGGCATGCGGTGCGCTGCGGCCAGCCGTTCGCCGTTTTGCTGATATGCCGCCAAGTGCGGGCGATGGGGTAACGCATACAAGAGACGAACGCTGCATGGGACGGGCAGCCACCGTGCTTTGTCCTTGTGCAATCCTCCCGGCGCGGGAATCCGCAGACCCTTGCTTGCTTCAACAGACCAAACTGATGGACTTGCACATGTAACGACCAAGCTGTTCGCCGTCGAGCCGCTCCTTTGGCCACTGCTAGTGCTCGCTCGGCGTGGAGAGCCAGCGCGGACCCTGAGTGGCTCCAAGGACCCCAAATTCTCCAAAGACACGC